AAAAAAAGCTCATATAGTTGAATTAGGTGACAAATTATACTTAAATATGAAAAAAATTTTTTCAGACAAGAATCTCACTTGCTACGTAGTCCAGGCTACCTCTGAACCCACTGTGTAGTGCAGGCTGGCCAACTCTCAGTGCCACCATGCTCTGCAACAGGTTTTAAGGAGTCTACTTTCTGAAACTTCTAATGATCCATTCCTTTTCTTTAGGTTCAGTGTACTTAATATTTTCCTCTTTATAATGCCAAATGATTAATTTATTCACAAATGATAATTATATGAGTAGATGAAATATACTGTACTCAGGCCATTGTTTAGTAAGCTCCTTCATTTGCTATCTAAATTCCGAAAGTTGTTTTTCAGGGTTACATGAGTTTAATTGGCATCGTCAGGTGTCTCCTACATACAATAGGTGATGCGTAGGGTTTATCAGAAAGATTCTAGGGTAGTGATAACCAACCTATGGTACATATGTTACTTGTTTTTAAGACAGAAGATGTTAATATATGACTTGTTTTTTCTAAACTAAAATCTCAGTGTTCAGGCTTAATTGCAGCATTGGCACTTTGCAATAAATTAGTGGGTTTTAGGTTGCAGTTTGGGCACTCTACTCTAAAAAGTTTACCATCACTGTCCTAGGGACTAAGATATTTTAGTTCTAGTCCCAGATATGGAAGTAACTAAGAATTTTAGGCAAGTCATTTAACTTTTATTCTTTAGTTTTCCTATTTATAGAATCAGATATATCCTATCTACCTTTTAGAACTTTTGAAATTGGACAATATATTGAAGTCCTGTGAAATAATACCAGTTAACCTTTGTCAGTTAATTTTTCAATTTCTTACCCTGGGGTTGAAGTTATTGAAGGCACTTGTTTTTCCATATTTAAAATATTTATGCAAGCCTCTTACATGGTATGCCTCAACTTCTGAAGTTTCACTTTCCCTTCACAAGAAATACGTACTGGCAATTTTAGATTTTCAGAAATAGTAACTTGAAGTCATTATGATTTATGATATATCACAGCCATACTTCCAGTGGTAATAGTTTACTGGATGATTACCAGGAAAAATATTAATGATGTCATATTAGCATTTGGTAAGATATAGGATGCTCAGAATATTAGTTATAACTTTTATTCAAATAATGTTTAAAATTTAGAATATGATTTTAAAGGTGTTATGTCTTATGAAGAGAAATCAAGCTGAAACTTAACAGAAAATGCCTTCTGTTCGTGTACCTCTCTAAAAGAAATTAAGAGGGAGAATGGTTTTGTTAGTCATAGCTTTTGTTTGTGGAGATGAAAGTGGGAATGAGAAAAATCATAGACATCCTTGGAACAGTGTAACACAAAATCCACTCATGTACAGATAGATCCTGAGATGTCACGACAAATTTAAAAAATAGATCAACATGATCCAAATGGTTTCCAAGACACCGTTATGGTGGGCAAAGAGCCATTTTACAGGTATGCTGCATGGATGTCCACGTCATGCTAGGAGAACACTACTCTGCTTCCAAATTTGAAAGCTAGTCATCCAGAGCAGGTGGCCAGTCAACATCTACAGACTATAGAGGGAGAAAACAAGTCATTAAAACATGCTATTATTCTTGTAAGCATTTGTAGGTAATAGTTTAAATATATAAGGCAACTGAAGAAACTACATTTGAAGAAAAGAGCTATTGAACATCAGAGTTTAACACTCTAAAGTCCATTCTAAATATTCTTAGATCCAAAGTCTGTTTTTGAGTTAACTGAGTAGCAGTATCGGGTTACTTGGTTAATTGTACCTTTGTCTCAGAACACAGTATACTTAAATTTTAAATTTTTTAATTAATGGGTAAAATAGCAAAAAAATTCAAATTCAGGTAGCTATACCATTTTCCCTCAGAAGTCTCAGCAACTTTTATTTTGATCATTTTCATATTACCATCTTACATTTAACATAGTCAAACGTCACTTGACAGCTGGGACACAATCTTAGAAATGCATCACTAGATAATTTCTTCATTGTCCAAACACCATAGAGTATATATACTCAAATTAAGGCAGCTATGATGGGGCTGGGGATTTAGCTCAATAGTGCCAACGCCGGCCTGGCAAACACAAGGTCCTGAGTTCAATACCGGGTACCAAACAAACAAACAAACAGTTATGATATCACTAGGTGATATAATCTCATGGGACTACCGAGTCTTGGAACATTATTATGCACACGTGACTGTACTCAAGTAGTCTATAAGCCCTTGGACTTGTTTTGTAACTAAGCAAGTAAATGTGAAATGAATGAAAGATCACCTCAAACTAAAAAGGGATTAAGAATCTTGTTTCGCTACATCAGAATTTTTATTGGAACATTTCCATTTTGCTCTTATAGAACAAAACCTGGAAATTGCAGAAAGCAGACTATTTTGTCCCTATACAAACTATCACATTCCAGAAGTGTCAAAACATAACGTTGTCATAACTATGCTAGGACTATTTTAAGAGCTTACAAAATATCCATTGTATCCATGGTTTTTACTGACACTTAAAAGTTTAAAACCTGAAATAATTTACTGAAAATTCCAGATTCAGAAAAATTATTGGAAAAGCCCAAATAAGTGTTGCTGTGTGTGTGTGTGTGTATCTGTTATAAATCTCAAAAAGATATTTTAGTAGTGTTTCAGAATACAGCCATATATCAAACATCCATACAAGTTAATGAATGGTTTCTCAAACTAAAAAAATTAAACATCACTGGTCACAACTGGGTTCTGTGGGGATGTCATAGTGTTACAGTTTTCAGAAAGTTCCACGGTTGATCCCAATGGTTGATCAGTCTGAAAAATCCTGACTGGCTGACATACCTAAGCTGTTTATAAATATTAAGGTCAAAAAAGACAAATTTAGTGGGATTTTAGCAGAAGATTGTCCTCAAAATGAAGGACTGAAGACTGCAACCTTGAAGGGGTGTTACTGGCTGCACTTCAAGAACTATATAAAATCTAATGTGGGAACATTTAAGAGAATTTCTGGTAAGGTAGTCGTGCTTACCATGGCAATTTTCACATTAGGCAATACTTCTTATTAAAACTTTGATGTTATTCCCTAGTGCAAAATACTAACTTCTCCTAAGATTTGGGGGCATGTGCAGGGTAGATAAGGACTGTGCTAATCAGATTTTCTTCAAGGAGCATAATATGGGACTCCACATCTATTGATGCTCAAATGAAAACACGATTGCCTGAAAAATCAGTTGTTCTACTTGCTTTAGCATTTAACCTTGTTCCAATTGAGACTGTCAAGAGTACAGAACCACATCATAGGAATCCCTTATAAAACCACCTTCGGACCAGGGCCAAGCATTTGACTCAGTTGGTACTGTGGCCTGGCTCGCAAGCACAAGATACTGAGTTTGATCCCTGGTACCAACAATAAAACAAAAACTACGTTTGGACCACATCATAGGGATTCCGTAGAGCAACATTTTTATTAATAACCATTGGCTTGTTCCATTTACTGCCTGTCCTGAATGTTTTCAAGCAGGTAGGGGAATGAGCTCTCTAGTTATCTCAAAGGACATGTGAAGAATACTTGCAATTTTATTCGTTTTAAGGGTTTAATCTAATAGTGTATGTAAAGCACAGCTAGTAAATTAGCTATATATATTCACAAGAATCATAAATGAGATCTTACACCTTTTAAAAACCAATATTCAAAAGATGCTCCCTCCTTATAATACAATGTTACTCTGACATTTTGATCATTTTCAAATATATACTTATAAAGGTGGGTAGTGCTATTTGGTATAATGCCAAAGGGCATAACTTTGGCTGAATTCAATTTGCAAATGTGCATTCCACAATAAAATGATTTACCTCCACATCCAGCTCAAGAATATCTGCAGTCATATTCATCAGAGAGCCAATGTTTGGACTGGTTCTCCCAAAGTCTCCATGTACAAACTCTTTAATGTAGCTGAAGTCAATTTAAGGAAAAAACGAGGCTAGCCGTGCAATACTGCTCAGTGAGATTTGACATGTGAGAGGGAAATCATAAAAAGCAGAAATGTAAAAAAGAGGTTATTTCTGAGTTCTGATTTGAGATGTGTGTCTCAGAAAATAAGCTATGATAAACTGGTTCCTACTAGCCTGGTAAGCGAATAGAGTGGTACCTCAGTTCTCTAACTTAATTCTTTCCACAATTCTGGTTGCAGAATTTGTTCCATGATTGTGCTTGCAACTAAGCAATTCGGAAAGAATTAAGTTCATGAACCAAGGCATCACTGTATAAGTTTGTGTTTTCATTAAACTTACTCAAAGTTGTTTGCTAATATAATTAGCAAAAAATGGTTCTCTTTAAACTTTGATTGACTGAGTGATTGAGACAGGGCCTCGCTCTGTAGTTCAGGCTGGACTTGAACTCACTGTGTAGCCCAGGTTGGCCTCAAACTCACAGCATCTTTCTGCCTCCTGAGTGCTGGGATCACAGGTGTGCATCACATACCTGGCCAGAGTTCTTTTTAAAGGAGTGACTTTGTATTTCCCTCAGAGCTCTTTAAATTTTGAAGGCAATGACTAATTCTGGAATTGTTCTTAATAAGATTTCATTAACTTTCTTTTCCTAGAACTGTATTGTAGCCTTGATAATATTTATCTGAAAGATACAGATTTTTGCTAGCACTCAGGAAATAACAAGCATTATACATATATTAAAAGCCAGCTTTTAGTATAAAATATTAATAGAATTTGAATAAGAAAAACTTAGATAACAAAGCAAGACTATAATATGCTGATACTGTATTTCCAATCTACCTTCAAAAATGTTTTGATTCAAGCATAATAACTAAGGTTAAGATTATAGGATCTCCCTGATACATATTGATCAGCAATTCAGTTTTGATATAAAACTGTACAAATCAACTTTGGACTATGGATATTTATCTAAAGTCTGTATATCAACTCTTTCTACATATAACACTACATATTACACAGGACTCTGTAGGCTTTGAAAATGGTGCAAATAGCAGCACACTTAATGGCAACCAAGTTTATATGTCTTAAATAAATGATACAGAGTCTGAAGTGCCCTTGTTTCTTCATAAGGCATGTAGAGAAAACAGCAATATGCAAAATAGCGCTGGACATGGTGGGATACACCTGTAGTCCCAGCACTTGGGAGGCTAAGAGGGTCACTTGAGTCTAGGAGTTCACAATTAACCCAATTAACATATTAACACTTCACAAATAACAACATAGGGAGAACCTGTCTCAAAAAAATTGTTTTTAAATAGTGCAATTCCCTTCTACCACCTGTTCAACCTGGGGCAAATTCTTGAAACACTGAAAGGACCCAAATGTTTAAAGACAGCAAATCAAAAGAATTTTCTGAGTACTTACCATGTGCTAAACAATGTGTAAGAAACTTTAATTGAAACATAGTAACTAAAGTTAATATTGAACTGACTTCTTCCCTCGCAGGTTAAAATAATGTTGAAAAACACAAATTTAATGGGAACAAATAAAGAAAGAATGGCTACCTGTCCAATATAATCCTTTCCCTACAATCTCCCAGAGCCAGTTGAACCTATTTTCAAGAAGAGCAGCATTAACTCCCCCAACATGATTCTGGTTAGATTGCTGCAGCACAGAGGGGAAGGATACGTTCCAGCTTGGGTCTTTAGATAGAGGCGAAAATGGTGCTCGTCCACATAGTGTGCATCCATGGAGTGAATGACTCGAGTTCTCACAGCCAAGGGCCTTCGGTGAAGAACACGTAAAGGTGTTTTCTGGTCAATCTTTAGGTCCTAGAGGATGTGACACAACTGAGAGTCAAAGCCTTGCCTCTCAGTGAAGCCTGGGTCAGTGCCTCCTTTCCTCCATAGCTCACCCCAGACGTTTCTCTAGCAGACTCCATCTACACAGCCAGGACAGGAACTAACTCATCCTAGAATAAAGTGAACTGCCTTACCTTCAAGCTCAGTGGGACTGCTAATAAACTAGCACAATTACTTGTTTTCTGGGCCCTATTACTCTCATACAAAGCAGGTCTTGGAAGTAAATGATCCTTAAGGTCTCTCCTGCTCTAATATTTAACAAATTGGCAGGAGCACTTTACTTCACAGGGCTCTTCTAGAGGGCAAGGTTCTTACCTTTGTCTGCCAACCCACCAAAGTAACCAGGACCCAGCAACAGGGGATTTCAGGTTGGGGTGAGAAATGACTGGCTGCAGAAAGTGGGATGATGACACACAGGCAGTATTTCCTATCTTCAGGGTGGTGGTTGTTATTGTTATAGAAAAGGATATATCTGGAAATGCTACACCATTGTTTAATGTAATATCTTTATGAGGCAATTACAAATAAATATGTACAATAAACCAAGGACTCTCGATATCTGTTAACCCAGGTTGAGAAAAATAACACTGCCTATTACAATGCTGATTTGTTAGGGACTTAGGCTTACTTTGCTCATAATTAATTTAAATAAGAATATCCCCTTATAGCAGAAGGTAGAAGTTAGAAGAAGAGGCTAATACTGTAAAAGGTCAACTAATTTCAAGTTTTTAAAATAGATATTGGCCATAACAGAAATGTAGGTTCATAAGAACCTTAAATTCTCTGTGATTTCTTGTTGGAACAACTCTCCCTAGTTTGCATGATTAGTGAGTGCCTAAAGCCCTGCTAAAAAAGAAAGTTTTCTTTCTGGTCTCCCCTCTATCAGGTTCTCCACCAAGAAAGAGAGAGCAGGTTTTGACAAAGACCACACTTGAAAGGCTGTCACTGCTTCTACCAGAACAGTGAGTCGTTGGCCCCACCTAACCTGAGGTTTTTTAATGATAATTCTCTGATTTTAGAAGCATTTTGTTCTGATGAAATGAGCTGTATCCATAAGGTTTGACTTTTCCATAGCCAAAAAAGACCATGAATGAATGAAGGGAATGACAAGGCTGAACTATTAAGTAATCTATAAACAGCTGGCCTTTAAACTCAAAGAATGTTCTTCCTCGATCCCTTTACCCCTTGAATCAAATCCCACTACTTTGACCATAAGCCATTCATCAGTGGAAAAACCCATCATTGCTTCCAATATACCACATACATCAAGACATGTTCATGTGTCTTTGGTTTTGGAAGACAAAAGAAACCCATTTTGCTTACTCTAACACTGTACTCCCTTATCCCCATACAGCTGATTTTTCACAAACAAACTTTTTTTTTTTCTTGGAAGTTGCCCTTTAAAAAGAGAGACCACATAGTAAATGTAAAGTGACTTTTCCTCAGAATAAGGAAGTAATTCAATTTTTATTATTTTTATGCCGGTAAGATTCTTTGAAATAGTGTTACTGTCAAAATGTTACTAGTAATCAACTCATACCATCAGTCCACTTGGGTTGTGAACCATTAAAATAGACCCTTTTACAACTTAATCTGTACCTATAAAAATCACCTTTTAGCATTATTTCTGAATTAGCTCTATAGCTATCCCAAACTATAAATCTTTTTGGTTGGTGCTAAGGATCAAACCTAAGGCTTTGTTCCCAGCCTGGAATCTATTTTTTTAATGGATTTATTTTTTTCCACCACATTCTGAATAATGTGTACACATATGAAGGAATAGAAAAGTTTAGAAATCTTAATCTTGCAATTTTAAGGATATCTGTCTATATTATAACTACTAACCTGAAGGCTCCTAGGTAGCAAGGCCAAAAGCCAAAGGAGGCCTACAGAATCACAGGACCTGAGAACTGGAGAGGCAACAGAAGGTGACCTAGAACATCCTCTCACTTTCTCTAAGCAGGATTTTTAAATGATGTGTTTTCACCAAAATAGTCTTATAAATATTATTCTGCTCCTCACTTCTTTTCTCAGAATGTCCTGGCTCTCTAAGTCATAGATTCAGATATACCTTTACCTTTCCCCAACATTTTAGGCATATTACAAGGGGTAATCAAAAAATACTAATTTTAAATTTATGAAATTAAAAAATTCATTACAGTAAAAACACACTGCCATCAATCCCCCTCAAACTATCCCCATACACACATTCAAATATACTTATCCCATTGTTCTTGCTACTTTTTGAAGCAATTCTGGACATCCTCTTTTATGAGTATCACTATGAGGTGCAATACAAAATATAGTGATTCCCAGGGATGTAGCTCAGTGGCACCACGCCTGCCTCACAAGCGCAAGGTCCTGATTTCAATCCCCAGTATCCCCCCCAAAAAATGGTGACTGCCACTGCTGAGTGCCATCCCAAGAAAAGGCAGGCTCATAAAACATTACAGTGTGTCTTCGTCCACCTTATTCACCAGATTTGCAGCCAGACTTGGCTCTTCCCCAAAGTCAAAATGACCAAGAAAAGTAAATGTTTTAAATGATTCAAGGCAGTCATGAGAGTACAATTAAAGACTCTCATGAAAGAGAACTTCTAGAACTGCATCAGAAAATGCTAAGTATAATGACAGAAGTACGTTCAAAGAAAGGGGGAGAATTTTGAGGGGGACTAGGACAATGTATTTTGTACTACAATATATATTTATTTAAATACACACCATATTTTTCAACCATAAATCAAATGTGACCATGTGCCAGTTTTGTTTTTTTAATAGCTGTACAATAATCTATTCTACAACCTCCTTACTGAAACATGTTCATTTTGCTTCTTTTTTTATTACTGTTGATTTTGTCACTTTGAACTTATGTATTGGAGTGGAGTTTTATGTCTCTAAGAGAGATTGGCAGAAGACTGCGCTGGGTAGAAGATGTGCATTTTAAAATTTTAAAGTCATTGCCATGTTGCTTTCCACAAGGCTCTTAAACACTTTATATTTCTGTAGAACATAAACAACTATCTTTTCTACTAAAATCCACTGCTTGGTTTTATTAGTTTAAGGGGAATATAGTGATATCTCATTGTTACTTCAACCTGGAGGTTGAAATCATCTTTCCAAATGATTCTTGGCCAGTTTCAATTGTTCCTTTTTCAGTTGTCTGTTCATATCCCTTGTCTATTATCTATTAGGTATCTGTATTTTTCATAATTAAATATAAAGCCTATGGTATCTTTTGCCATATAGTTTCCTACATAGTCATACGTAAATGCACACACACACATGCCCAAACTTATGCTTACATACAATGTACCATCCTCTATATACTCTGCCCTTTGTTCCTCCTTAGCACTTATCAGAAACATTTCCCTATGTTAATAAATACCTACCATATAATTTTTAACAACTAGATAGTAATAGTCCATTATATAGTTAAGTCATAATTTTAAACTAGTCCCCTCTAGGAAGTTATTTTTATAAAATATATTGCCCACATAAACAATGCTGCAATAACTATATGCATCTTTGTGCCCACTCATGTTCATTCTTTGCATTTGAAAGTAAATTATCACCAGGTGTGGTGGTGCATGCCTGTAATCCCAGCATTTGGGTGGCCGAGGCAGGAGGATTGCTGAGTTTGAGGCCAGCCTGAGCTACACAGTGAGTTCAAGGCCAGCCTGAGCTAATAGGGAGACCCTGTCTCAAAAAAACAAAAACAAAAAAAAGAGAAGTAAATTATCTTTACACAAAGAGGTGAAGGCAAGAGGAAAAAAATATGCAAAAGAACAGGCAGGCCCTCCCCATGTTTATGTTGAAGGTATGCGCCAAAATATACGTGCTTCATACATATCATTACATCTTTTATTCACATAGTGAACTTTAGCATCGATTCTATTAGAAAAGTTTTATTTCTTACAGATTCGCATTGCTAAGAGTTTTCAATGTGCCAGAAACCATCCAAAGTGCTTTACAAGATTAAACTCATTTAATTACTTCACTAATTTTACACAAGCAGAAACTAAAGCATTATGAGGTTAAATATGTGTCCAAAGTCAGAAATAAGAATCCAGGATTTGCCTCCAGGTAATCTGTCTTTGAAGTTAGGCTTTTAACCATTAGCAGTACTGCCTCACTGTTAGGTTAGATGGAGGACCCAGGAATTCAACTCATAAACGGCAAAGCTAGAGTTTGAATCCACTTCACACGGACCCCAAAACCCATGCTGTGTGACTTGCTGATAATAACCTAGAAAACATTGGATTCTTCTATGGACAATAGAAAAATAAAATAAAAAGAACAAGAACATCTAAATTACCTTTAGATCATTTAAGAATGTAATGTCTTCCTTCTGTATTGCTTTATTTGTCCATATTAAGGCACTATAGGTCTTGGTCTTCTCTTCTTCACCTTCTTTCATGTGTCCTATTGCTTCTCTAAAACAAAAACAATTGAAGAAAATGTTCTGAATACAGAAAATATACACAAGCCTTGCTCCAAATGTCTTCGTTTAAAATTACCTTTACTAAGATACAATTTACATGCAATTCCCCTCTTTTAAACTATACAATTTAATCTTTAGTATGGTTACAGAGTTGTATACCTATCACCACAACCTAATCTTAGAATACCTACAGCATCCCCCAAAAGAAACTCCATTTCTTTAGTAGTCACTTCACTCCCTGTTCCTCCTTTTCCTAAGCCCTAGACAGTGACTCATTATTTTCCATCCTATTCTGAACGTTTCAGATAACATGGAATCATACAGTATTCAGTGTTTGGTGACTGACTTCTTTCACTTCATAACACTTTCAAGGTTTATCTTTGTTATATCGCCTGTCAGTATTTCATTTGTTTTTATTACTGAGTAATTCTCCATTGTATGGCTCTATAGTAGATTCCTCTTATCCATGGCTTCACCTTCTGCAGTTTTAGTTACCCACAGTCAACCCTGGTCTAAAAGTACTTCATGGAAAGTTCTAGAAATAAACAACTCATATTTTACATAATGTAATGGCATATTGCTATAATTGTCTTATTCTTATTATTATGCTTAATTTATAAATTAAATTTTATCATAGGCATATGTACATGAAGAGGCATAAGATATAGAGTTCATTACTATCTACAGTTTCAGGCATCCACTGGAGTATTAGAACATATCCTCCACAGCTGGACACAGTGCACACACCTGTAATCCCAGCACTTGGCAGGCTGAGGGAGGAGGATCACTACAAGTTTGAGGCCAGCCTAGGCTACACGGTTAATTCAAGGCCAACCTTTAGTGAGACTCTGTCTCAAAAAAAAAGAGAGAGAGAGCAAGTGAGCATATACTCCACAGATAAGTGGGGAACTACTACATCAATTTGGTTTATAGACACTTAGTAGTTTCTATTTCTTTCCTTTATAAATACCACTACTCTGAATGCTCAGGTATGAGTCTTTGTGCAGATGTATGTTTTCATTTCTCTTACAAATATAATATCTACAAGTGGAATTGCTGGGTCATATGGATGCTCTACAGTTAATCTTTTGAAAAAATGTCAACCTATTTTCCAAAGTGGCTACATGTATAAGCCCACCAGCAATGTATGCTAAAGTTTCTGTATATTCTTGCCAGCACTTGTTATTTTCTGTGTTTTTATAATAGCCATCCTAGTGATTGTAAAGTGGGATCTCATTGTGGTTTTGATTTGCAATGCCCCAGTGAATAATGATGTTGAGCATTTTACATGTGTTCACTGATTGTTCGTGTTTTCCTTGGAGAAATGTCTACTTAATCACTTTCCCATTTTTAACCGGGCTGTTAGACTTCTTCATGTATTCTGGATATAATTCCCTTATCATATATATGATCTGCAACTAAAATTTCTCTGTTGAAATCATCTCCGGTGAAACTACCCTTACCTTGTGACAAGCTGCAAGTCTCGTACTTGTATCTTATCAGATGATTTATTAATTTTCTGTAGTAGCCAGAAAATAAAAACAATTAGCAACTCTAGCTCAGTTACAGAGTTGTAGTAATGCAACAATTTCTATATCATGAAATGCTTTACCTGTTGAAGTTCCTTAATTTCTTGTGACGTGAAATGTATTCTATGAGGATTTACCAGCTCAACTGCAAAGGGCCTTCCTGGCAGAACACACCCCGTCATGAAACAGAAACACGTTGATGGAGTTAACTTTTAGGCTAATAATGCAAGAGGGTTAGGAGTGAGAAAAATGAGTTGAGCTCTAGAGGACTGAAAGTTCAGGGGCGTGACTACATCTGGCAGAGGGAAGAGTGTGTGAAAAGAATCAAGGGGCTTTTGGGGAAACATAGGTTGCTAAACCCCAGCACAGGCAATATGTGAAAATGACTGCTTTCTCAAAGGTCCACAAGTAAGCATGTGTTAATTACAAAACAAGATTCAAACAACCACTAATTAAGATGGTTACAGTACTGTTATACTGTCACATACAATAATTCCCAGGTATACCAAGTTGAAACCCATCCTCCCAGCCTAAGCCAAAAATTGTAATTCCATGAGAGAAAGGGAATATAAATCTCAAATAGCCCAGGATTATTTTTCATCATCTTTCTTGTAATTCAACAAGATGAAATTAAAGAGATGAAGGTTAAGAGGAGAATCTTTTTTTTTTTTTTTGGTACTGGGGATAACTCAGGACTATCATCTTTCTTGTAATTCAACAAGATGAAATTAAAGAGATGAAGGTTAAGAGGAGAATCTTTTTTTTTTTTTTTGGTACTGGGGATCAAACTCAGGACCTTGCACTTGCAAGACAGGCATGGTTGCCACTGAGCTAAATCCCCGGCCCAGAACAGAATCATTTTTTAAATGAGGATATAAACTTTTAAAACTGGTACTTCTGAAACATTACTAAATGGAACAATTAACCAAATTTCAGGAGAGGGGTACACATAAAAGTCCCTTACAATCTATAGATATGCAATAAGGATTGTCTCTGAAAAAATGGTTCCTGTTAAGACAGAAACTGTATAATTTACAAAGGTAGCTCCACAATCCACAAACCTTTCCCACCTGGAGAAGCTCTGGGCCCTGCCTACTTTGGTTCTAAGTAAGCCTGCTGTCTGCAAAAGATAATAATTAGAAATTTAGTTCTAGATAGATAATGCTGATGTAATCTTACCATTTCCTAATGTTCTCACATCTACATCTTCTCTTCCAGAAGATGAGAAATTAAAACCTTTGGAAAACAGATCAAGAAAAAAATTAGGACATATACTGCGAGATGCTTGTTCCCAAGTTCAGGTAGAAACCCAATTAAAGTCTGACAGTCTACAGGCAAACCCCAAGGGATAGTTATCATTCCATCTAGTCCCAATCTCTGATGAGAATAGAAATGATAATAATTAACACTATACACTGTATATTCACTATATGCCAGAGCCTGCTAATAATAATTACACATACATTATTTAATCCTTATTACAACTTTGTGAAGAACTAAATAAAATAACATTAAGCTTTAGAAATGTAGGCAATTTTCCCAAAGTCACAGACTAAAGGGCAGAACAAGGTGACTCTGATGTAGAAGGTCCGGCTTTGACATCATTCCATGCCACCATGCCAAAGGCACTGTATTGAGTGAGTAAAGGCCCCGACACCTCGATGGCCACCAGCTTATGGCAAAAATTCTATCATCTTTTTTACTTCCTGAAGAAAAGCTTTTATTTAAGACTTAAAGACTGTAAAAGAAAGATATGGGGCTGTCTGCGATCACCCGGCGGCGTGCGCGTGAGCTCCCGGCCTGCGCGACAACAGACCCAGGAAGGACCCAAGGACCCCAGAGGGGGTTTTTTTCAGCTGCCTGCCT